GTTTTATCGGGTGTTTTCTCATTCGTGAAAAACGTTTTCGATTTTGAAAAAATGCCCGAAGAGACGGTTAGCATAAGCCTACGCGGTCCGTGTTTTTCAAACATGTCGTGGTGAATGTACGCGAGGTAAGAGGGCCAGAGCCGTTCAGTGGGGGGGGGGGGAAGAGCGACGGGAATATTTTGCCTCATTGTTGGAATATTTTTTAGAGGGCCTCCATAAAGTCTCGATGTATAGTAATTAACAATAAAGCCTCGATTACACTGAGCTATATTTTACACGCTTCGTGTCGGCGATTAAAGTCGTGCGCGTGTGAGCGTGTAGCGACTTGTCCGATCGCATTGAACGATTAAAATCCATTTCGATTAAATTTTCGGTCTCGAAAAACCTTGGGACGGTCCTGTTGAAGGCAAGTGATTTCCTGGGCAAAATTATAATTTCACCCAACCACGGGCTCGTTTACGCGGACGATTGCTAGACTTAAGACCGGGAAACATATTCATTGTTTTGTAAAAATAAAAAGTTTATTTCATTTGTAAAATTTATTGGTATGTGTTATTGTTTTTGAAAAACAAATCCCTATACACATAAGACTTTTTATTTCCTCGATGAAAGGACACGGATAAAACTAATCTAGTTGTTGGATACAATAATTTTTAAGGGGATCGGTGACGTGCAGTCAGGTGCGTACACAAGGAGAGGTTTTAGGGATTCAAACCCCCTTCCGACATTCAGGAAAATGATATTAAATATGTTTTTATATAGTAAAATTGGTATATAGATTATATTATTATGAAAATGTACAACCTAAAACCCTCGAAAAATATTTTTTGCGTACGCATCTGCGTGCAGTTATTTTAGTCAAAACATATTCATCTTTTGACCATCCTACCGATCGACCTAATAATGCGAAAATATTTCTGAAAACTGATTTGAATTCGTTATTGTGTCTACTTGAGATCGGTCAGTCCAATTTTCCCAATTTCACCCCCCCCCCTCACTAAAAACTATAATTTAATTTGAATGTTTTGAAATATCCGGATTTTTAAAAGTTAATTATTCAGAATTAAAATTAGAATTCTTAAAATGTGGACTGACCGATCTCAAGAAGACATAATAATGAATTCAAATGTTTTGAAATTTTTTGGATTTTGAAAAGTTAATTATTCAGAATTAAAATCAGAATTCTTAAAATGTGGACTGACCGATCTGAAGTGGACACAATAGCGAATTCAAATCAGTTTTTATAATTATTTTCGCATATTTAGGTCGATCGGTAGGATGACCAAAAAGTACATAGTTTTTAGTCAAATACAACACACGTTCTGAATCGTTTGCGTGGGTGACAGTGACTTGTACGATGCGTGAGGAAACGTTCCTCCACCACTTCCATTCCACCGCAAATATCGCATGTCACCGTCTTGCTTAGAACTAGCACCAATTACTTAGAAATACTAATAGGCTATTCGAGGTACTGTTACGGTACAATTATAAATATTAGTAAAACTCATAAATGTATACATTTAAAATAGGTGCGCAATTACTAAGGCAATAGTTTTTAGAAAAAAATATGACGTAGCAGCTTAATGAAAAAGTTGAACTTTTGATAAAGGATGTATTAAACAGCCCATACCACGTATTTGGAGATAATTCTAATTGTGCCAAGTATAATAATTTAAAATAAATGTAAAACTGTTTTCATCTACAATAATTTAAAATTATGTATTTATAGTTACATTTGTAAGCGTTCTAAAGAAGGCGAGGTAAATTTGGTTCCTCAAACGGACCATCGAGGATTATTTAAACATATTTTAGGGACAAGAAACATCGTTCCTCATCATGTTGAAAGCTTTATATATAACGTAAATAAAAACGTAGTAGAAGGCTTTAATGGTGTGGTTGCCAAGTATGTAGGTGGAAAACTAATTAATTTTTCTTCTAGAGGTACATAATTACAAATACTAATACAACTTAAAATTGTACAACTGTATATGTTTGACGTATATAAAACTATCATATACACTTTTTAGGGTCATACATTGCAAGGTGTAATTCAGCAATAACATCATATAGCAAAATATAATAGTAATTTACATAAAAAAATTACGAATACTAGAAAATTAGTTACAAAGGATTATTTACAAAGCAATTTATAAAAAAAAGTAGAAAGATCAAAAGAAAAATTAAAACGTCGACGTTTAAATTTCGAAATGTATCTATTATAATTAATAATTTAAATTAAATTTAATTATATAAATTAATTAAAATTAATTAAAATAAAACATTAAATTAAATGTTTGCTTTCTGTGAATTAAAATAGATAGAATGCTAAACCTATAACGAATAACCTATATACGCCTATATTTATAAATTATTACAATCTTTATGATAATATAATATAATATATCATTTTTTTTAATTTCTATTTAATTATTTAGTGAATGAATAGTAAAACATTCTCATATTTAAAAAAATCATTATAATATTTTTATTGTCTAAGAATAAATAATATAATATACATAACTGATTTTTTTTTTTAAATTATAAGAACTTTTCCGAAGAGGTCACAAATTGTTGACGGACCAAATGAACATTATGGGGCTGCAAATGAATTAAAACGTGCAATAATTGATATGCCACATGACGAATATTTAAGATAGTAACAAATATTTTTAAATAATTTAAAACTAACTCTAAATGAAATAGAAGAAGCGGAGATAAGAACTGTAGGACAGCTAAAAAATGATAAACGGTTAAAATATATATACATCTTACAGTTTCAAATTTTGGAAAAGTGTGTAAACTTAGAGCAAGCACTTTTCGGGCAAACACCGTTAAGAACTTACTCTATGATATTTTTCAATGAAACTCTGCCACTCGGTAAGTGTAATGGTAATCAAATGTACTGTATAGGGTATGCATAATCTGAATAGTTAAATGTTAATTTGTTCACATTTTATAGGTATGGAATTGAAAATGAACCGATGGCCAAAAGAGATTTTGAAATAAAAAATAATATTAAAATTGAACCAGCAGGATTATAGGATTATTTGTTCATACGACTGTTAATTATTTAGCTGCGAGTCCCGATGGACTAATTGGCAAAAATGCAATTATAGAAATTAAGTGTCCTCAAAGTTTAAAAAGTATACGCCGGAAAAAAACCGTAAATGCAAATAAATTAAAATTTATGATATATAATGAAAACTAATATTAAAAAAAAAATCATTGTTATTATTTCCAAGTACAAGGACAACTTAATATTACAAAACGAACATTATGTCATTTTGTAGTGCGGACACCCAACGGTAACTAATACTTTTTTCTTTATTTTTTATTTCAAATAAACATAATATAGTTCCAGAAATTATACACTCGAGATTTGATAGAGGATTAACCATAAGATCAGGTTTACCGAAACAATAATATAAATAAACATTTTTTTTTTTAATAAAATGAATGCCTACAGCGTTTGTTATTATAATATTTAATCCTTTGCACTTTAAAATAGAAAACTCGTATTTTTATAATTAATAAACTTTCAAATCTTTAAAAATTAAAACAGTGAAGTTGAAAAAATAACAAAACGTTGATGAGTAGAGAAATGTAGAAACAGTGTTGTAGAAATAATGTAGAACAGACGGCGAACGATCATAATACGGAATGTAGAACATGCGCTTATCAGGGGCAGATCCAGAGTCGGGGAACTGTGGTTCAAGCCATTTCAAGAGGTCATTTATTAGGGATGAAACGGAATTAGAAATTAATACCTTGCAAAAAAAGAAAAAAAATACAATATGCTCATAAAAGTGTATAAGTATATTTATATTACATTTTAGAACTAGTGATACCATCGATAATGAATTATTTACGATTAATAAATATAATCTTATTTTATCAGCGCAACAAACGTTCGAAATAAAATATGATTTACTTAACTTTCTACTAAAAAGATATAATTTAAAATATAAATTATGAATTGAAAAATTTTAAATTTTGAATATACATGGCATTAATTTTTCAAGTAACTCCGATGGGCCAACTGTCCAAGAGTCCAAATCAAGATCTAAAAAGAGAAAAAAATTTCCAAGAGGCCAATTTTGTCAACAAATATTAGCTGTGGGTCAGCTGAGCCCCTGAACTCCCCCCTAGATCCGCTCCTGGCGCGTATTGTTATTTTATACGTAATGATCATTATTGTGTATTAATAAACATTTTTGTAGTTATTTGTCAATTAGCAGATAAATAAGTAAAGCGGGTAGTACATGGTGTACACGTGTGGTGTGGGACAACGTACACACACTAATAACTGATCACCGCGCACACAGTCGCAAGTCACGCTCGCAAGCACTTTAAATATTGCCTATACACAACTCCTTAACATACACCACCACCGATGTGCGTCAAAAAAATGTCACTTTTTATCATACGACGGTCGAGTGTTGCGACGAACGGTTTTGTGAATGACAAAAAAAAAAAAAAAACTAAACGGTAAGTATTGGAAGTAGAGCGATTATTTCATGATTTACACGTATATCGTTTTATTTTTTACGCGTTTTAAGTGCAATGTATGTTTGGTCACCTATCGTACATTAGTAATATGCAATTAATTTATCGAAAATGTAAAAATTAAAATATATACCACTAATAAAATACTCATCTTAGTTAACCGTGGTAAAATATTTATGTTTATTTATTTAACAGATTAAGTATAATATTTAGCACCCGATTTTCCCGCACAGATCAGGTTAGGCCGTGTAGAGAATTTTTCAAAAGACAAAGTAAACCAAATATTATATTTATTATTTTATTTTATATTCATTATATAGTATCGTATTAAAAAACTAGCCAACAAATATAATTAAACATTAAATTAGGAAAATAAAATACGATCAATAATTATTTAAGATTAATTATGGAACAAAAATCAAATAAATACAACTTTTCAACTATAAAATAAAAGGAAAAACACATAAATACACAATAAAAGAAAAAAATTATAGTTTCAACCACAGAAATATGTATATGTATACATATTTAATTTATAACTAACAATATTATTAAGTTGACTCATAAATATTTCCAGCGGTGGATTGTTATTATTCTAGGCCATAGAACGATGTTTAGTAAGGATTGACTAGGTTGACCTTTTCAAAATTTTGTACAATTAGGTGTACACTGGGTCTACTGCATTATTTTTAACACTAGACAAAATAATGATTTGTATTATTTAAAAAAAAAACTAAGTGAAAAATGTAAAAATATTGCAATATGGTGTAAGAACATGCATAATAACCGCAGCAATGACACGTGGTTCATCAATGTGTGTTGTCACTGAGGAATCATACAAAAAACTCAGTCTTGTTGCTCAGCTCGTACTCTATCTCCTCGTTCTTGTACATCTCCAAAAGCTAAAATGTACAGATCGAATATCTATGATTATATGAAAACACAACAACAATAAGTCGAGTTCAAACGAGTTAGTCATTCAAACATACATTGTTAATATCTTTGATCAACTCTTGCTTTTGCTTTTCATGCTTTGCCTGCAACTTGTCTTTATCTTTAGCCTGCTTGATCTGTAAATAGATTTTCGTAAAAACGTGTATACTATAATTGAAGACTGTTTAATGTATACATTATATTTATTGAATATACCTGAGCGTATTTTCTCTCGTCCATGAACTTCTTAGTGTTATTTTGTTTCTTTTCCCTCAACCGCCTATCCTTATCACCTTTAGTCTTAAGTGTTTTATCATTCATCACTTCTTTCATTACTTCCACAGATATTTTTGCTTGCCTTGTGTTCATCTCCTTTAAATCTCTGTAAATAACAAACGAAAAATGCATGACATAATATTTAAACCGTGACTTTATAATATATAATTCATACTTCTCATGTCGAATTTCCAACTGCTTCATTTGTGCAGCTTGAAGTGACTCCATAAGTTTCACAAGAGCATCTTGCTGCTCAATGGCTTGTTGTTTTTGCAATGCCCACTTTTCTCGCCTATGACGTTCAACCATTTCTGACCATTGAGTCATTTGCTCAGTTACTAATTTTTTAACACTACCATCATTGATTACTTCAGTTTTACTAGAATATAAATAATTTCAAGAAATAAATACAACTTGTGCATTATTAGTTAAAACTGTTTGCCATTATCTTACTCTTTGCCTTTAACAGCCTTTTCTACAGATGTACATTGCTGTTTTTGTATAGAAGCTTTTTCTTTGGCTTGTCGTTTACGCAAAGCTTCTAGTTCTTTTTCTTGCTTTCGTCTAGCTTTCTGAAATCCCTTATCGTTTCTCAAGTACTCAAGGTTTATAGCTTCAAATTTCAGTTCTTCTTCTACAATAAAACAGTAATATTTATATTTAACTAATACTTAAGATTCTTTTCATTTTTACCTTTCTTTGGTTCATCAGACTTTTTGTTTTTGCTCCCCTTTTTATTAATCTTGTCGCCTTCTCCTCCCCCACCAGCCACAATATCTTTGGTGTTAATATCGGTTTCTTCAATACCCATTGCCTTCATCTGTTGCGCACGCTTTTCTTGTGCCGACAAAAATGCTCTTGGATCAGATAAAGCAGCCATGAAATCTTAAAGAATATATAATACATAATTATAAAAAATATAAAAGAATATAATTTGTAAGATATTGATCAAGTAATATAAATGATTAACTAATATATAAAATTAATAATATAATAGAGTCCTTGCTATTTTTTTTATTTTTTTTTTGTCAATTATTAAAAATACTATAAAACAAAATCGGTAATTTGATAAAAAAAAAAAAAAAAAAAATAGCTTAAATTTTTAATTTTACACAATATAATTATTAATATATTAAAATAAGTTGAATGACATTCATATTATTAAAGATAATCTTAGTGAATTAAAGTTAATTATGTAAAATTGCTTATTAAATTACATTATTAATTTTCAAATTCAACACACCTTCAAAACCATCAGGAACATAAATTTTCAATTCAATATTACAAAATAACATAGGTAAAGCCATTGGGAAATTGGCTTCTGATCTTAAGGATATATGTCTATAGCCAGCTTGTAGCCCATCTAAAGGTAGAATCCTCTGTCCCAATAATTTTCCATTTTCTTCATATACACCAATTCGCAGTACTGCTAAATCTGGTAACACTACCTATAATTAAGAATAAATATCAAATTTTAATAAACATATAGTAATGGAAAATATTTGAATGATAGTATAAAAATACCTTTCTGAATAAAAATGGCTCCTCGTTATACACTGGATTTAAACCATTGCTCGGCACCATCCGGGTACGAAATTCTTTACGAATAGTATCAGTAGGAAGGCCATACATATCAACTTCAACATAAGTGCCGACTTTCTTATCAGACAAAAACTGACCGGCAATCACTTGAACTGAACATTGGGCAGCAATCACTCCATCTACCGGAGATTCTGCGAAAGGGTCAAAACTTCGGTCTGCTCGACGCATGAAATCAGGTTTCAACAAATAACCACAGTTACCGTTGTACTCAAATTTTCCTTGATTAAGTTGCATTGGCAAATCAGCAGTTTGAAAATTCAATGATACCATTTGACAACCAGCATTCCAAAACACCTTTAAAAATAATATTCAATTGAAATGAATTGTAATTTATTGAGAGTAGAAGTAGAAAAATGTTTCACGACTTAAACAGAAGATTCTAATACCTGAGGCATATAGTTAGAAGAATCAGCACGTGTTCCTTTTGGATAGATTCGACTCATTTGTCTTTTATTGTAGTTAACAAATTCAATGGCTTGAGACTTTAAGTATCCAAGTCCGGTATTTTCAGCAAATGAACTCATGTTATGATGAATATTTTTTTCTACAATACAAAATGAGATATTAATGGACTTAATTTTCCATAAAAATACTATATTCCAATTTACTTTCAGCCACATCGAAACCCTGAAACTTGATTGGCTGTGCATAATTTACCATTGAAGATAGCCATGGATGGACATTTGTTGTTGATCCAGTATATTGTATTGGTGGTGGTGCCTCAGCACCTTCTGTACCAGTTCCAGCATCAGGTGCTTCCACCTAGATATTAGAAAATTAAGCGTGAAAATAAAACTATAACAAAAATCACCATATTATTGTGACTTACCTTTTTTTCTTCAGGGGGATTTGTTGTTACAGCAGTTGCATCTTCTTTCTCTTCATCTTCAATAACAAATTGTCCTTTTCTAAACAACTCAAGTTCACTTTTTTCAACTTCAGGTTTTAATCTTTTGTTCTTAATCATAATTTTTCTTTTTAGTAATGACGGGGGAGGTAACGGCACACCAGCTTCACACTTAAAAAAATTAAAATTTTTAATACAAGATCAGTAAACACTATAGTGATAACTTACTGGATAATCAGGTAAGCATTCTCTCATCAATAAATCCCCAAGAATTTCATCACAATACTTGGCAAGTTTATACTGTTGACTTTTGCAACAATGATTTTCAAATGATAATATTATAGGATAATCTGATGTTACAAATGCTGTATCACGAATAGCATAAATTACATCCTAAATATAAATAAACCAAACATTAATGACCATTTAATAAATAAGATTATTTACAAACATGAAAAATAGGGTTTTGAACCTTCAGAATACACCAAATTATTTTGAATATATATCATGAGTTATATTTTATAAAAAGGAAATATGCAAATATGAGTATATTTTTCTCATAATGTTTAAAAAAAATGTAATTAATAGGATAATAAGAACTAGAACAACACTATAAAAATATTTATTATCCTTAAACATTATTTAGTTTTTCTAATATTAATATATAATGTAAAAGTAATCAATAACTATTTATTTAGTATAAATAGTTACTTTTAAAAATAAGGTAAAATAAAATGAACTGATTTGAATATAATTTAGTTATACCTTAAACAGAATATCTGTACACATGGCTTTTCCATGAGTAATAATTGGTTCTTCTTCTTCACCTTTACCATCCCAACAGTCAAGTTCAACACATCTATGAGTAATGAAATAAAAATAAATATTGATTCAAAAGAAATGTTTATAAAATGGACTCGCCTGCATCCAGCTAAAAGTGTCTGTCGATACATTTCAACACTGGACTTTCCACCAAATTGTCTCCCAGATAAATAAGTATTATGAGATGAATTAATATAATAATGAGCTAAAGGTTGATCCATATCCATGTAAAATTCTAATCGATCCAAAAATACTGGTGCATTTTCGTCAGACATTAAATATCGAATTAGACCTTCCTTTGACAATTGCTCTAAAAAAGTAATAACTATCAATTTCTCAACTAGAAAAAGTATAACATGAAGTATTTATATGTTGAATTTAAACATGTTCTTCATATTTAATAATAATAATATAAACAGTAACAAGCCACGGAAAAACAGTCGTATTTTCATTGGTGAATCTCATATCCTTGTAAGAGGTTCGTTTCTTAAATAGGTAGTTGATTGATAAGTGAGATGTAATAAAATTATAATTATAATGGGTATTTCGGATTTGGACACTGAAGTTTATCAGTACAATAAAGGAGGGGAATCAACAGAGCTAATAAAGAGAAGTTTAGAAAAAAAAGGACATCAGTAATTATGGTGAGAGTAATTTTTAATAGGCCACTTTAGGCAATCGCGTTTACTTGATTGAATGGAACGAGTGATCAGTTGAGAAGGATTAGAGTAAATCAAGCAAAAAAAAAATATGATTTCGCCAATCATATGGTCTTTTGTTTAATGTAGAATAATGGGATATATACGAACGTGGTACATTTAAATGAATAGGTAATAATAATAATTGCACCGCTTAACTGTATTGGATATACTGCATACAATCTATCAAACATATAATACAGTGAAAACTGTCTAAAGTGGACCCTGAATAAAACGGAAAATTATCCAATACAGTATTTTTCTATGGTCCCGGCACGTTCCTATAATTTTATATAGACGCTGAACCTCAGCAAAACAAAACCTTCTTAACGCGAAAACGGAACGCTTTTGTAAGTCCCATTCAAGTAAAAACCTTGCATAAACAGGAAAAATGACACGCGCGTGTGTACTATAAACCAAAAATAAGGTATAAAATATAGATATGATCATCGTTGTATGTACATCGTTAAATAGTGATATATAAAGGAGATAAAATTTTTTTATACATATTCGCACAATATATGTATATACAATGCATGTTATCGCATAAACGATACGAACTTTCTTCTTTGTAACTGTGAAATGGTCATATACCAAAAGTTGTACGTACACTTTTAATTTTATCTTCTGTTAATCGTATTAAATATTAAAATGCCAAAATATATGTGTCTATGAAAAATATCAACTAATCGATAAGAGTATAAAAGGATAATTGAATAATCCGGAATTTTTCCGTTTTATTGAATAAAGTGGAAAACTGCTTAAAGCGGAATTTTTTGTTGGTCCCATGCGATTCCGTTTTAGGCAGTTTTCACTGTAATTACAGTAGGCTTTCTATCTAACATTTTAAGACCGTATAAATAATACAAATAAATAGTCATTAGTCAACCGCTTATATATATATAAAATCACGGATTTAATAAAGCTGTAATCAATAAAGATTACTGAGTACAATTTGATACAAGTGAAACAGAATAATAATGAATTCCACATTTTCAAAAAGTGTTGTATTAATCTTATAAATAAATAGAAATCCAAAGTTACTTACTTTCATTTTTTACCTCTTCTGATGGTTCATAGTCGTTGATAATTTCAATTGCCCTCTTTTCATCATACAAAGGGTATAAAATTTCGTTTAAACGAGGATCACGCTGTTTTTCATTTAGGAAAGTAATAAATTGATCCAAACTGATATTTTCAGCTTTTCCTTGGGTGCTAAAGGATAAAAAATTACAACACTCAATATGCATCATAGTATAAAAATGTTGCTGAAAAATAAATTAAAGAACCTATTAAACAAATATTTAATTGTATATAAATATTCATAATTTTTATTATTTTCCAAGTTATAATTTATTAAAATAAAAATAAAATGTATTAAATAATAAATATTTGTAAACAAAAACCCAAATTGATAATAAGTTTAGTAAACAAATGTCTAAAACAATAATTCCTTAATGGAAGTAAATCGGAATTCACTGGTTTTTTTTTTGCTATTTTATTTTCAATACATTAAATACAATAAATTATAATTTAATAATAATAAGAAATGTTCTAAAATAAAACAACTTTATTATTATATATTTTAAACTTTTAATTAGTCATTTACAAGTTATACTATACAGAATTTTTGTAATAATTATTTCGGAAAGACGTTTATTTTCAAATATTTCTATAAAATAATATATATAAAACAAAAAAAAAAAAAACAATAAAAGTATAATTATCATTTTCAGAATTTTTTCCCTTTCAACTATTATATATTATATTATGTTATCCATTAATAATAATTAATATTTTTTTTTAGGATAATAGTAGTCATTTTTTGTTTATGAAAATTTAGTAGTTTCTTATAGAATATCTACTTAAATTAACTACAATTAGATTATTTTTTAGTTAAAATGTATTTCCAATGAATTATAAGTTAATTGAATCAAGACGACTAAATGAAAATGGTTTAAATGGTTTAGAAAACGTATTTAACAATTTGATTATAAACAAACTATGTTAAAGTTAACGAGTCACTGATAAATATACTATATAGCATATTTATATAAATGTATTTTACTATATCAAATTATAATAGTCTTTAATTTTCTACTAAATTTTAATGGTTTTTAGACAATTATTTTTAATATTTATAATTTAATATGTTTATGAGTATAATTAACATATTTGGAATTGTAAAAACAGAATTATAACAAGGAGTGATTGGAAACCATGAACCTTGGAAAAAAAATTAGGGAAATCAATTTATTTTCATAATTCCGAAATTCTGTAAATAATCCGAAAATTTGTACATTTGTACTTTATCATTTTAACTAGTTATCATTATTACTAAAAAAGTTTGTAAACCATTTCAAATTATATAATTTAATATTGTAACAAATTTCATTTAATGTTTTTCTTATCTATTTTTAGATTTTTCAATATTATTGATAGAAATTTATTAATAGTTTATATCGTTTGCAGAGGTGAGCATTTTGACTCAATTTACTTGACTCAGTTCATGCCAATTATTTGATTTAGTAAGTCAACTCATAATTTATAAGGTCTTATCAATTATACGTTTTGTTCCAGATAATAATGAATCACCAATTCAATGAACTACATAGTTCAATCACAGATGTCTATATCATATTTAATATAGACTGTGATATATATAATATATATCCAGGGCTGTAGTGGAGGGTATACGGCGGTATACGCCATATACCTTCTGGTTATATGGTCCGTATACGAGTACTCTCTGTTGTAGTGAAATCACCAAATAATATAAATATTAAAGTCATTAGACTGTTAAGTAATAAACATACTCTGGTAGTTTATTTAAAAACTTATTTAGGTGAAAATGATCCTGAATATAATACAATTGCAGCATTCGTTGGTTTGAAAAAAATACTTTAAAGTTCAGAATTCATTTTAGATCTAGGTCTTATTTCAATAACTTTCAATGTTAATGAGTTACATTGTCTCGAACAATTATGCTGCCAAAAGCTGAACAGTCAATAAATAGAAAAATTAGAATAATTGAAAGTTTTAAGCAAGAACCAGGAGAATATATAAATCAAAATTATTATATAATGACATTGAACTTGTTCCGAATAAAAAAATCGTTGCTATAAATCTAAATCAATTTATTCAAAGTATAGTTGATAGAATGACCACTCGATTATGTTCGAGGTCAGAGGATGAGAACCATTAATTGCTTAGTGATATTTCAGCACTAGATCTAAATAATATAAAAACTGGAAAAAGTGAAAGTATTAGAGGATTAGAATTAGAATTACGAAGAATTTATAGGCGTTTGATGTTGATGAAATACAAGATGTTCAAGGATTAAGAGCCTTTATAGAAAATAATGAACTGTTACCAGATAATTTTGAATCTACTTTAAATACAATCGCATCATTATCATGTTCGACAGCTGAGTGCAAAAGACGTTTTAGCTTTATGAATAATATTAAAAATTTAAGGGTACCACTTTTAATTTCAAACGTATCAAGTTTAATGTTAATTAAAAGTAAAGGACCACCTTTTTAAGTGTTCAACCCAGAAATGTACGTGAGGTCGTGGCTAGAAGACCATCGCTCAGCTGATGACAACCAATCAAGATTGAGAAGAAATAATTTAACAAAATCGAGATCCACACAACATTTATGGAATATTTTTCAATAAAATATTTTAGTAAAACACTTTAATAAAAAAAATTGTTTCATTTTAATTTGTACAAACGTATTTGTGTTGTGTTATTTAAGTATTTGGTTAGACGATTATGCGTTTTAGTTACTTTAAGACATAATACCTAATGATAGTAGAAATGTTTAATATTATAACTTTAGTATACCCTCAACTTTTTTTAGGACTACAGCCCTGTATATATAATACAATATACAATATATAATATAGATATGTGAGTTAAATTGACACAAATCACAAGTCATGAGCTGACAAAATGATAACATTAAACTTATAGAACTGATAAGAACTAGGATATTAACCACAGATATATACGATATATATATATACATGTAGTTAATATCGAGTTATTGAGTCATTGAATTATGGAACACTGATTCAATTCATTCAACTAAAAGACTGGACTTTTTGAATCAACTCGCGAATTACCCATCCCTAATTGTTGGTACTTGACGGTTTGTCACTTAATTGTTTATTTAACGTAAATTTTTGATGCCACGAAAATGTATCATGTTTATTTTTAATTATTTAAATATCTAAATTTCGACTTAAGAAATTTTATTTAAAAATGGAAAACTTCGTCAAGTATGAAGATGATTCAACACTACTACTACCTTCTACTATCTAAAAACTAAAAAATCTAGAATCTAAAACTGTTCTTTTGACATCTGCAGCGAATTCATCTTACTTATCTCTGACTGTACATTTTATAACTATAATATTTTGGGTTCTTAATCTTTACCATAAATCTATAATGCAATTAATATTTCTCAAAAATGTACAGAAATTATGAATAAGTACATTAGATTTACAAAAATGTTGTGTAATGGACAATACTGTAAATATGGTGAGTGCTATGCGTCTTTTACGTTTTGAGCTATTGATCTATTTCGCACATACTATCCAATTAGCAATAAAGGATGCTAAAGATGCAACAGATGGATTTAACACAATAATAAAAAAAGCTAGAAGAATTGTTAAACACTAAAAACATATTGCAAAAGCTATTAAACGTTTGAGAAAAAATTTGAAAATATTAATTCATTTGAAAATATAAATCAAAACAAATTATGTTGAAGAACTTGTTTTTTTACAACAAAACTATACAAAATTATAAATAAAAAAATTGTTATTATATAACCAACAAAATAATATATTACTAACTAGAAGAAAGTTACATATTTAAGAGTATAATTATGTTGTAAATTTTAACAAGATAATATTTTTAATTTATAATTTAAAAAAAAATTGTTAAATTATCCCAATTATCCCGATCCCAAGTTTAGGATTGATTTTTCTCGATTCCCATCCCGATTCTTAAATGTCTTCCCATTTATCCCTAATTAAAACTAATTTAGTTATTAACTAACATAGATGATATTCAACTTATTTAAAATATAATGTAATTAAAAGTATTTTTTGAAAACTAATTAATAACTTACATTGACTGGAATAGCTCTTCAATATCATTTCTAGGACATATCTTGTGATATAGTGCATAAAACTTATCAAAAGTAAAATCTGATGGCTCGATAGTATCATTCTAAAATAATTATTATAATGGATACAAATTATATTATTTATATTATCAAATCTACTATACTTTTCCACTAGGCAAGTTGAGATCAGCCAAACACTGGTAAACCATCTTTTCAGTTTTACCTGATGCAAATGTTCTAGCAATTACTTTTACGGGAACTTTTCCTTTTGGATCAACCAACATACCTAATCGCATCCAACTATAAAATAAATGAATATTTATAAAAATTAACAAAACCAATTATATCAAACTATAACTTACTGTTTCATAAGATTGGTTCGTACACATACATTGTTCATCTTATTGTTGTGAGTTATTTTACGAAGACCTTCCTGCCATTGCTTCATAAAAAAAAAGGAAAAATATTTTCCAATTATTTTTTTATACAAAAATACAATATAATAAATAATAATAATAATTAATACTTAATATCTTGAATGAAGATTTAATAACTAGTAATATTTTAGTTGTTAAATAAGATAATTTACAGTTAGTTACTTAAGTTAACATTCTCTATATTAAATCATTTTTATTATTAATTTTATTTATAAAATTTTTTTTTTAATTTTGATTAATATTAAAAGCTCAATCAATTTTAAATTGGAAAATGATCATATAGTTTAATAACAATAATTTAATCTAATTTTCAAATATCCAAAGATCTAGTTTAAGTACAAGTTAAATCATTTCTTACTATAAAAAAAAAAAAATTAAGCTGTATTATAAAATATATCAAAATCAATATACATTCTTAATTGGACTGAAATTAAAAAAGCAATATCCAATGTCAATAAATCAATTATAAATGAAATAATACTTTTATACAGTGAAATTACATAACATACAACATATAAAAATGTAGTTCAAATATTGAGTTTTAAATAAAACATTTTCAAAAAATAATGAGATATTTAAATTAGGAAATTAATTATTATTATTAATAAATTAATTATTATTTCGTATATAAATTTAATTCAATATAATATGCAAATCCACCAATAATAAAACATAATTTATTAATGCTAATAATATGTAATAACAGTAATAATGGGGAAAATTAAAATCGAATTTACATTATAACATACAAGAAACCAGTCAATTAAATTTAAATATATAAATTTATATGAATAAAAAATCATATTAAATAAATGGATACATCATCAAAATACTATAATTTCTTAGGTAATACTTAAAAAAACTAAAAGTATAAAAAATGTAAGCTCTAATACATATTCTTTATAACTGTAATAAATTAACATTTAATATATGACCAACTTAATAACCAAGATAACTGAAATACTTGTTTGAATTACATTAATACATGTGATCTAATTAAAAATTATAATGGACCAATAAATGTTTTCATTACGCAACTGCATATAATTATATAAATATAATATACTCTTTTTGCATTAAAATTTATTTTATTTTTAAATTTTTAAAAAGAGATGATACTATTATTAATTATAGAAAATTGAGTAGTTTAAAATTAATTTATTATTACAGAATATAATTTAATAAATGAAACAACATTAGGTTAAATTATATTTTGTTTACTTTTGCAGTTGCAGCATCTGCACAAATAATATGTTGATAATTTATGTTGATGTAATCCGTGTTGCTGCATATCGTTAAAGATTTCTCTTCCAATGTATCACCATGTTTATTTATCAGCTGTTGTTGTTGTCGGGTATCCTAGAAAAACAATACAATTTTAACTGTTAGAAAACTTTTTAAAACAATGAAAACATTTAAGTTTTCAGTCAATATTTTGTTAGTAAAATACTCACTTTAGGTAAACCTCCTGAGCGTATGTCACTGACTTGACATAACTCAATGACATCTCCATCCTAAAAAATTAAAATCATATATATTTCTTAAATTTTATACTATTAAAAAAAAAAAAAAATTAATAAAAATTGTCAGAAGTTTTTGTTTAATACTAATGATATAAAAATTATCTGGACTGAGAATATTTTAAATTAATCTATGGAATGCTGATATAAAAAAAAAAAAAAATTATTTAAAATATTTTGGAGAAAATGTAAATGGCGCTGACAAATTAAAACTATTACCATCAATTCATATTTAAAAATATATATTACTCGATTTTCACTCTTCCAGTAAATGAAAAATCCATATTCGTCCACTTTGAATGTACATCCGTATTCAATTTCAACATTATCTTTTTCTTCAGTCCAACGGTCAAACACACTACCTTGTAGCAACAAATCAGGAACTGGGATCTGCCAATTGAATTCAAATTTTTTTGTCATTGCGACCGATTGGTCGTGATGTTCACGTTATGTTCATGGACTGTTGAGACAAATAAATGAGTAATTAATCAAAGCCGCTTACAATGTGAAAACAAATTTAATGGGTTTTTAATTGACAAATTAAAGAGCAATTAAGGTTGAGATGATGGATATTTAGATGTAATATATTTTATAATAGAAAATATTATATTGTAGGTATATCTATTAAGATTAAATACATTGAGGCATAACAAAAAAAAGTTCCTTTTATTCAATTTGTTTCATTAAAACTTTTTTAATTCTAAAATATACATAATCCTTACTCATAAATAGAATATACATTTTAATAACACAATAATATATACAGGTATACAATAAGTGATTGACAAAGATTATGATATTCTTTCCATAACATGGATATTGAACTTGCCCAATAAAATTACCGATGAAATAATAATTTACAATAGTAAAACTTAACACATAATACTTTTTAAACACCATTCTTTGTCAACATTTGAAAAATATTGCCGATAAACAAACTATCTAAACCAAAATATCTATAATAAATCGGTAGTCAAAATTAATTGTTATTAATGATACAAAAAAAGAAAAAGTTTTCTTTTTTATACAGTTTTTAGTCTTTACATAGTATGCTTGGCAAGAACAAGTAGAGAATTAATCTAACTAAAAAAGTAATACTAAATATTACTGCAGTAAGACAACTGATATGAGAAACATAAATTATAAATAGAAAACTTAACATAGTACAGTTGAAAAAATTACTTATATCATGTTCGAATTCAAAAGCTCCCACTACAAACGTAGCTCGAAGGTAACGAGTTGTTGGACGACGACGGACGGCGTTTCAATACGGTTTTCATATCGACACAATATTGTTATTACTCACGGATAACGGGCTACTGGTTGGCGTTTTTGCCAACGACGGGCGCGAAAGGTACGGCGAGACCTATGCACGGATTGCATTCGACCGAACTGGCGCGCGACGAGTACACAGACGTGACGGACCGCGGACGGAGAGCGATTGCCGGCGTCGGAAAACCGGACGGTTTTCGCGAGTTGCTTATCGACAACAACGGCAGCTGGTGCAGTGAGGGGACACCGATCGGACGGAAATCACTATACGATTATCAACAACAATAATAACAAAACAGTTGTGTCCGAGACGATCAATAAACGCGCGAACCGAGGCGAGGAAGAATACTGACAAGGATTTAAACGTTGTTTAACAGAAAACGATAACAGACGTCTGTTACACGTGTTTAAGAACACATTTGTAGTGCACACGTATATTGATTACATACGTTAAGAGATGGGAACTAGTTAAAAAAAAAACTAAAAAAAAAAAACTAAACCAAAACAAACCGGGACGAAAGAAAAATAATAACAAACTACCGTCGGCTGTTATCGATCTTATCAGTGTTGGCGACGACGAGCGTAATCAGCGGCCGGGTTTCCGCAATATTTTGCGAACCACTGTAGAATTTGTTTCGAAGCTGTTTTGCGGCAACAGAGCAGCTACTACTATAATGCCGGTCGATTGGCGCGCCGGCTGCTCGGACCACAAAATACATGAAACATTCACGTTTTATATATTCTGTGCTCGGACACCTGCGCAAAGATGATTCTTCGCGATCTCTATCCTGTAACCCGACCGGGCAGGGCCGGCGCAAGACTAAATGACGCCCGAGGCCAAAATGCCAACTGGCGCCTTTTTCATACAACAACCCGTAATATCATTATACTTAAAAAAAAAAAAAATGATTTATTATGCTCAACTTGTACATCATTTGTTATCGTCTAATTTTTTAGTCACGAGTCACGACGATTCGACGCGATCCCGATTGAACGATAACAAATATTTGGGAATTATAACAACATATACGATAAAACATTCTACGCTAAACCATAGTAAATATACTCGAAATACACGGCTAAACGAAATAACCATAATTATTATCAATATTTCAATACAAAGTTATAGGTATTTTACATAAAAAAAAAAAAATAATATTAAAATTATTGACATTAGGTGCAAAATTGTAAAAAAACAATTTTGGCGCTCCCCTGAAAATGGCGCCCTAGGCGACCGCCTGAGTCACCTTTCCCTCACGCCGGCCCTGCGTCCGGGTCGACGTTTATACCGGACCCGTCGTTGGAATGATGCACGTCCGCGACCAGAGTACTGCTGTGCTTTGAACACAGGATTTGATTTCGTGTTTTCTCTGTATCCTTTTCCGTTCTCATAAGCGTACAGAGTGTCAGGGTAGGCTGCAGCCAAGGAAACCCCGGCAAATTCACCCCCATCACAGGTTGTATAATTATTCAACGGTAAACACTGAGAAACTAATTAAATTCAAATGTATACTTTACGCGTAAAGTAGCAACTACTCCAAACACTCAGTGTAGTGATGTACCTACTGCTGAAGACAATACCTAGACATTTATGAATCATGGCTCTACATCATGTTATAATACCGTAAGCACATGCGCGTATATACCTAATTATTATTGCCCGCGCTCGGGACACATCTTCTGCGGGCGATGGTCTCCAGTCATTGTTCATCTGACGCGTAATATATTATTATTATAATATTTTAACGATTTAAATCTACGGCACTGCGAACGGGTTTGTGCCGGTTGCGTAAAAATTTCATTATGTATACTAGTACGAGATATGTACACACATGAAACGAATATAGACATGCAGTATATACTGCTGTAGCCTCACAACCCGGACTTGAACTTTGAGGGAGAAACTGTTTCCCTAACATACTATTTTTTAAAAACATTATTAAATAATTTTGAAATGGCTACGAACGACTTCTGGGGTACAAGCAATCAGCCTTCTAAAAACGCGCTTTTACAGTAGTAAACTACAAGTGTATAGTAGATACTTAGAATTTCTTAGCGGCACACTAGGGTTTCTCGAGCAGTCTTTAGCGTATTTTTAGTACCTACAGAGTTATGCTCTCGCGATAATAGTTACGTTTGTCCAACTATTGACACTATTTGTATTATAGTTTTTTAACTACATTATTAAGTAATAAAGTTATAGCCTATAACAGTTTTATTACACAATGATAGGGAATGGAAGGAGGTAGAACAAAATGCCATCAATCAATCTAGAGTTTTGTTTGGGCCTTGCTGTTTAATTATTTAAACAATATACTTTTGCGCTAGAGTTCTTGAACTTACAGCAATGTAACTACATATTTAGTGTTATCTACAAGAGTTCCGCAGTTCCTAGTCTCATTCGCCCACTCATCGTTGAATACGCAAGTTATATATATTTTATTATTAATATTAAACAAATATTGATTGGTTTGTATCTAATAAAATGTAATACTTTAAACCAATCACGGCTTAATATATAATTGAATCAAAACTTAGCAAACCTACAGTGTTACTCGATTGCGGCTGATGGTTTAACCGTAGTAGGGAAGCGTGAAATCATTGTTGAGACAATTGGATACGTCATGGCAGAACATAATGTATGATAACAAAATAATTAACCCTTATAAGAGTTCAAGCCAAAATAGTTAAAAACTGAAATAATTTGATATTTTAATTTTAGGTTATTATTTTATTAACAATGAGGTATTTTGGCATTTTTTTGAGGGTGTCTTGACTAACCAGTATTCTTTTTTATTTCAAAAGTATCATAGTTTTATCACGAATTTATACCTACTAGTTTATAATCATCTTTATAAACCATTTATGTTTAAGTATGTTCTTATAAATGTAATTTTATGTTCTTGTAAAAAATCTTAGATTTATTACTTCAATTTTTGATTATAATTATGACAGTAATAGAATATAAAACATTTGACTGAATAAAACTTATTAAAAATTTTAATTTACTTGGCAATTTCCTACATCAATTTATTTAACTTAGTATACTCATACATTTCTATGGATAAATTAAAAAAAGTATTTAAATTTATAAAAATTAAAGATATTCATCTATGTTTTACAATCAATTCGTCTAATTCTCGATTACTTTCAATGCGATCCTTCCAATTGATTGATAACACAGCTAAACCATTAAGTTATAGAGAAAACAAACGTTTTCTAATTTATTTCATTTTATAAATAATATTTAATCTTAGTAAAAAAACAAGACTTCCCTGGTCTATAGTTTTAGGTAAGTAAAAAGTCTTTATTTTTTTAAAGCCATAAATGATCTTTCATTTTATAAGTGGAAATCGATAGTGCTGCATAAATTGTTAACAATTTAAATACATTTGGACTACATAAAGACAAAGCTTCCATTGAGTTTTTATATTTAAATGTTTCTAAATGTCTCAATTATATTTGCTACAAATTGCATTTTGATAATTAGTGTCTTTGAGGATAACCTAAGATCTTGCATGTATGTTTGGGTTAACAATAAAAATATTTTTTCATCCGTATTAAGAATTATGATTGAAGTTTAGATTTTAGAACATGTTTCTTTTTTTTTCTATAAAAAAAATTAAGTTCAACTTTTATACATACATTTATTTCATATTATTCCAATTGTGGCATATTAATATGCTTATTATGCCATAAAAATAAAAAAATTGTATTTAATTAAAAATAAATTATTAAATATACTTCTTAGTTATATAAAATTTGTTAAACACGGAAAAAAGACTTCTGTTAACTTGTTTTCGTTTAAGATGAAAATACGGACTAAGTATTCCCTAATATTTTAAGTATAATAATACTATACATTATTTGCATATTATAATCACAAAATCCAATTAATATAATCGTTATTTACACATAACATGTAGATAAAGTTAATCAATATATCACAGACGCAGATCCAGTCTACATTAATGGGAAGGGCTTGTTCATGAATAAGTATGTATATTTAGATACCTACTGGTAAAAATTGGAAGGTTGGGCTGAGACCGAGTAACATCATGATACATGGCTTGGTACGAAAATACCAAGAAAAGTAGAGTTAGGGGCACGAAACTCAAGGTCTTTGATTCAGAATCATGAACGCAGAGTGACATGCTTTCTCGAGGTTAGTGGTACCTACGACGACTCGGTATTGAACCTGGTCTGGCTCGTGAATAGTTCGCAAAGCTAATATACGATCCGTAGTTGTAAACGAGCGTTTGTGTAAGCTGAAAAGACTGAGAGAACCGTTGGTAAAAATGAGATTATTTACTTTATATAAATGCAATAGTAAATAATGCATTTTCTTATCGTACGAAAATGAATACTTTATATATATTATTTTCATAAACTGCATTAAGTTTAACATTTTCTTAAAAAAAAATATCTTTTCAAAATTAACAAAAATATAATATATACATTTGTAATTTAAAATTCAAAACATTTTGTAGGTATAAATAAGATAACAAAATCCAATCCTCTGTTAGATTAAGGTACTGTTGTACCTGTAGCTGATAACATGATGAGTATATATAAAAATATATTAAAATTCAGAAAAGCAGTACGGGTTTCATCGTTTGTGAGCTTCTAAAGGTGATAAAAGTAATCATTTGTTTTTTCAACTAATAATTATGACAAAGTCCAAATTCAATAAGTAGTGTAGAATCAAAAATATCTCTAGATATTTGTGACTTAGAATTTATAAACAACACATAAATGTAGGATAACACAACATAGTGAAATATAATATGCAACAAATTAAATGACACATTTTAATATGGGGGAGGATTACCCTTATCTCTCCTGAAACACGCCCGATATGCTAATTATTCGATAAGACTATTCATATTTCGTGGTTAAATTGTGTAAAATATAAGGGTGTTCTGCTATTTATTTTGGAATAAGTACCTGACATGAAAAAAAGCTGGTGATTATATAAAAGCGTTTTATCAAAAACACATACATGTTGCTTAGCACATTTAGTTCGAAATAGCCAAGTTTAAGGCATGTGCGAAACAATGCAAAAAAAAAAAAGTAAATAAGATGAGTCTTATGGATTATGGCTTGAATGCCGTTAAATTCTCCCAATATCGTAGTCACGTCTTGTCCTCACATGTACATTGTTTCTATTTCAAAAGTGTGTTATCTTTCTAATATTAATATAGCTAGACTTTTTCTTGTTATATCTAACGTAGATATAATTTAAATTAAATTATCTTTTACTATCATAATTTTTTTTATTGAGGTATTTTGCACACAATGCTACATGTCCGATGTTCTTTATATCGGTTATTTTATTAGCGAATATTGAAAACATTGAGCTGAATTTACTCTACTCACAATTCGTTTTATTACAATTTAGTTATTCGATGATTTCGTTATAAATCATCACACTAGTGTACTTTAAATGTAAATTACTTTCTAGAAAGGATTTAAGCCGTTCGTCGCCATAAGCCCTATATCGTAAACTACGATTCGTAATATTTCTAGAAAATT